GGGGGGGGGGGCATTTTGAAAGTCTGACGGTGCTGTGTTGGCTGCTAACTGAAAAAGCTAACATTTCAAATCCACCAGGTCCTCTAAGACTGAAAGATGAGACTCTCTGCTGGCCCTCAAGATTTAGTTTTAGCATCCCCTCACAGAAGGGTCTCCAGGAGACGAGCCAGTCCAGGTGCAGTGTAGCACAAATGAAACACATCTTTCCTCTCATTCTTTAATGCTTCCTTCCCCCCACTATCATGATCCCAATTCCACCTTACAAATCCGGCTAGACCAGAGGATGTACACTGGTACAGATAGGAACTGGAAACACAGGGAATCCAGGGCAGATTAACCCAAGACCAGTGGTGAGAATGGTGATATGGGAGGGTGGAGGGAAGGTGGGGTAGAAAGGGGGAACCTATTACAAGAATCCACATATAACCTTCTCCCTGGGGACAGACAACAGAAAAGTTGGTGAAGGGAAACGTCTGACAGTTCAAGACATGACAAAACAATAATACTTTATAAATTATCAAGGGTTCGTGAGGGAGGGGGTCTGGGAGAGAGGGGAAAAATGAGGAGCTGATAGCAAGGGCTCAAGTGGAAAGCAAATGTTTTGAGAATGATGATGGCAACAAATGTACAAATGTGCTTGACACAATGGATGGATGGATGGATAGATTGTGAAAAGACTTGTAGGAGCCCCCAGTAAAATAATTTAGTCTTAGAAACCCTGAATAAGGATTCGGACTCAAGGTCAGCACTCCAAACGCACCAGCTGCTCAGTGGGAAAGATGAAGCTATCTTCTTGTCCGAGAACTTTCTACAAGGGTCACAATGAGGACATTTCAACTCCACGGTAGCGGTGGCTTTTTGGTTTGGTTCGCTTAACATTTGACTCGACAGGTCCTGGGCGGTAAACGGGAAAACTGCAACGGTCTCCCAGAAAAGGAAGTTATTAAGGACAGGATCAAAAAGGAGCGCTGACATCAGGTGGATTCCGACTCTTAGCGACCCTAGGAGGCAGATTAGAACTGCCCCTGTGGTGTGCTGACACAGTATTTCTTTATGGAAGTAGAAAAGCTCATTCATTCTCATGAGGAGGTGTCCATAAGGCTGGAACTTGTGGTTGCTGCCCCACCGCATGACCCACTAAGCCATGGGGATCTGAGGAGAGGGCAGGACAATGGCATTCTGGGACTACTATTGGCTGCAACCTTGAGCAAAACAAAGCAGTGCCAACCTCTCCTCAGAAAAGCTGCCATCTAACATTCCTTGCAAATGCAAGCCTGGGCTTTCTGGGAACTAAAAGTGTTCCCCGCTCCACCTGTTACTATATCCTGCTTCGCTACACAGAGATACAAAGGAATACAAATGTAACCGCGCGCTGCCAGTAAACCTTGGAGCCTCTGGAGTGGTGCACGTCCCGTCGGCCTCGGTGCAAAAGGCAAATGAACGCGTCTGCCAAATCGTTCCTCGGGAAGAAACCCGTGTGACACCGCTCCACCAATGAAAAGACCGATTCGGACCCACATTAAAGGGAAGTCAGCGCACCTGTCAGGGGTCAGTTGGCTGTCCGCACTGAAAAGGCAGTGCTCAGCCTCAGTCGGAAACGCCAGTTACGTTTGTCCTGTGAGAACAGGGAGCACTTCCTAGAAATGTCGAGGCGTGGGAGTTGCCCCGGTGCCTCGCGTCCACCGGGGCAGCGCCCAGGCCACCCCGGAGCACAGGGGTGAGTTTGCACGGGACTCCCGGCGCTTCCTGGTGGAGAGGACAGCCCCTGCGTCACTGGCGGCGCGCTCGGCATGCGGGGAAGAAGTTTGTCCCCCAGGACACC